CCCTCCAACTTTTTTTTGTTCCTGTACCACTCAACGCTTACTAAGTGAAGCATTTTTCAATCACTGGAAAAAATATGAGATGTGCTGAAATAAAAGAAATATTTCCAATGCGAGTAATTGAATCAGTGATAGTTCGCAGCCTGGTGCACAACGGCAAATTTTCCGGTCCCACAGATTTCTCGAGGACTTTTGCGCTGACTTGCCACGTACAATATCCTTCTTTTACAGACTGTAGGATCATGTTTTACCAATTTTAATAATTCTGATAATAACCCGATCGATTATCATGATTAATTCGAAAGACTATCATGGTCGTGATCATTATGGTTATTTCATTTTAATGATTTTTCTGCTCTGTTTGCAAAAAGAAAGAGGCATTTGATTTCTGGATGTGTGCTGGATTAACTGACAGTGAAAGTGTCAATTGCGAGACAGCTGCACAAACTGAACCAGAGAAATTCCGGTATTAATCACAAATACCAATGGTTCAGCTTCTAGTCACTGGTTTTGCATTATTTGATGAGCAAATGATGGTCCTTCATCTTTTTTCCTGGTGAGCAACTGCTAGGACCTGATGACACAGCTGCTAGAAATGTGCCATCACTTTCAAATGAACAGGGGCTAGTAATTATTTGAGTCATTCTTTTTGTAGATGACGTAATTTGTTGAAGGTCAAAATCGGAATTTACTCCGCTATATTTCACTCTCTGGTAAAGGATCTGGAAGTAACTCGAGTGGTAGCATGTGCCAGCAGTAATCATTTTGCTAACAAAGCTGTCGATGGTCCCCTCTTTCGAGAGTTGCTTAGAAGCAAGCTGATGATGATTTTCCACCATTTGAGATATAACAGTATCTTACCACCGAAAAGAATCGTAGAAGGAGTGGTTTTCCCATTGGCAGAATCGAATCACCGACTGAAACCTTCTTGTCACTGCACGAATCGCACCAGCGATGCAGTATCGTATTGGTAAACACGGAATACAGTAAGATAATTTCGTACATTCTTGGTGATCTTGTGATTTAACGTCAAGATTTCGCGCACAGCGCTCTAGAACTTGTAGCGACAATTACTCAAGACAGCTCTGCACATTTCAGATCGAATTTAACTGAAATAAAATGAAGGAGCCTTGTTTTCGATGTAAACGACCAACTTATTTCAACGATAAAATTGGTCCGCTTAAAGATGGCGTACTTTTTCACAAAGTAATCTTTTCACTTCTCCTAATATAAAGACACCTCGGACAGTATTACATGTTACTGAGGTGCTCCCACACGCCGGTCGCAGTTAATGCCAGGCCCTTCGTTCCTGGGGTGTATGTCTCCAGTTAGCACCATCGCCTGTTCGATGTAATATGTACCGTTTTCCCAAAACGTTAGTACTTTACTGGCTTGAGCGATAATGCTTGTCTTAGTAACAAGACAAGTATTATCGCTCAAGTCAGTAAAGTAAGCTTTTTAGACGTTTTTTTGAGATATTTTCCGAAATACTCCTCTCGACAATGTTCAGGAAAAAATCCGGCGCCATGGCTTCAGTGAAAATACGTAACTTCAGTGAAAATACGTTTTTT